GACGCCCTATGTCCTGACCAGTCTGTGGCGAAGATCTTGTACTTGTGCTTCTGCACGTCCATGTATGGGCCTCGCTTCGCTACTCTCGAAATGTGCAAAATGAGAATGAATTTTCCGCTAGAACATGGAAAGATGCACCGCCATGATTTTTGTCTTTTGTGCATGTAGAGAGTAGTCGAGCGAGGCCCTATGTCCTGACCAGTCTGTGGTGAAGATCTTGTACTTGTGCTTCTGCACGTCCATGTATGGGCCTCGCTTCGCTACTCTCGAAATGTGCAAAATGAGAATGAATCTTCCGCTAGAACATGGAAAGATGCACCGCCATGATTTATGTCTTTTGTGCATGTAGAGATTAGTCGAGCGACGCCCTACGTCCTGACCAGTCTGTGGCGAAGATCTTGCAATTGTGCTTCTGCATGTCCATGTATGTGCTGACCAGTCGCAATCAGATTGCTTCATGAGGTAATAAGTGTCAGCCTTAGGGCCTCGCCACACCACGGTCGAAAGGGAAAAAGAAAGGGAAAAAGCACGAGTGCATCTTCCCGCAGAGAATGGCAAGATGCAACCGTTACTATGAAATGCATCTTACCACTTTCTGAGGAAGATGCATTCCTTCTTTTTTCGTTTCGACAGTGGTGTGGCGAGGCGCTTAGCCCACTTGGCCCTTATGGGACTCGTGTGGCGAGGCGCTTAGCCCACTTGGCGCTTATGCTTATGGGACTCATTTGGGACTTCGGGCCTCGCTATGCCCCCCCCAATGCCCAAAAGTGGGCCCTTATGCTTATGGGACTCATTTGGGACTTCGGGCCTCGCTACGCCCCCCCCAATGCCCAACCGAAAAAAGTGTGAGTGCATGTTCCTCAATCCATCCATAGCAACGGATGCATCTTGCTACTCTTTGCTGGAACATGCATAACGGATGCATCTTGCTACTCTTTGCAGGAGCATGCAGATGAACATTTTTGGTTTCGACAGTCGTGTGGCGAGGGCCTGCTTGTCTTATTTGTGAGCTTTTTGGAATGGTCTGTCAGATGGACACAGCCCATCTGTGTAACCACATGTCACAGTGTATGTTATTCAAAAGCTAATCAAAAACCTATGTGGATTACATACATGCCTTGGGGGCTCGCTCCGGTACAGAACAGTCTACATGCATTTGGACGCTCTCTGGACTAGGTGCATTTGGACGAGTGCAACATTTTGAATGTACCTAGTCCCGAAAGCTTCCAAATGCATGGAGAGTGTTGTGTTGCAGCGGAGCGAGGCGCTTTGAACTGCAAGGAGATAGGGCACTGATATGGAAGAACTAGGGATAAAAATGACAGCTTGACAGGGTGAGTATGCTCACTCTCAGATTAAATTTTGGACCCATAACCTGTAGGAAGGGGTCCCCCCAGAGTGGAAACCCATCCTTTCACCTCACACCCTTTCTCCCAGAGAGGAAACCCATCCTTTCACCTCACCCTTTCTCCCACTTGAAGCAATAACCCGTACGAACGGATTTCCCAGAGACTCTGAGGAGGAAACCCATCCTCGAACCTCACCCTTTCTCCCCTCCTCTCCGAGTCAAGCCTTCGTTGTGGTCAATCAAAGCTTTTCATAAAGCCTGCTCGGCTATGCGAAGCACATACTACAGTCTTCCCCCGAATACAACGTACGGTGATTATAGCGGAATTTAGACTGAAAGATGGGTCAAATTCAGCTATAATAACGGTATGTTGTATTCGGGGGAAGACTGTAGGGGGGATACTGCCCTGCAGAAGAGAAACTTGAAGAGCCATGTATATTAGAAATAACGGCGGACGCGGCATGTTTTGAAACCCTAAAGGCAAAAAAAACTCGCGCCGGCAAAGAAACCATGTGCCAGCTCGAAATGAGCGATTTCGGTCCAAAAGTATCCGTTGGGCATTTTCCTGTTTTTTTTTTTTTTTTGGATTTACCCTCTGACACCATGGCGCGACCCCTGTAAATAAATATGACACCCGGTCGGACACCACGGCCGTCGGTATTTCCGTTGCCTTTTCGAACTCCGCGCGGTTTTCTTTGCTGACACGTGTTTTTTTTGCCCATTAGATACTCAAAGGTGACATGAATGTACTTACCCCTTTATACCCCTTTATATTAGTTCTATAACAAGGTAGCTCTAAGGGGATTACATATAACCGCATTGTATCTGTATTGAGACCACGAGACACTTAGATGGCTGAAGGCACAGGCCAAAAAGCACGCTCCAGACCTTCTCCCTCGTACTGCTCAGTCTGAATGAGAGCAAGTACAAGGAGGTGATTCTCTCTCTCTATCGCAATACAACTGCGAAAGAAGCCTTCAATCCTGGTGGTGCTTTTATCACCAGGGTACCGCGGGCCTTCCCAGGATGTTCCCCTGCACCCCCCCCCACCCCCCCCCAAAAAAAAACAACTGTGAAAATGATAAGGGATAGAAGAGGGGACGATAGGGGTAATTTAAAAGTGATGATGCAAACAAGTAAGGTCAAGCTCTGATACCAATTACAATGATCTTGTCATCCTACCTCATTCATAATGCTTCAAGTTAGTACACAGTGCTAAACACCCTTACTGGCAGCAGTGCAAGAGCTTCCCTTTCGGCCTCATTCTTCTGTGTCTTCTCCTCTCTTGGTACCAATTTGCCAAACTAGTTATGGTGGCGGAACGTCCATGGAACCAGTGGATGTTCAAAGGACAACACAACTACTGATGTGCCTCTCCTGATTCATGCCGCCATAGGCGCACTCCCGGATGAATTTCCAAGACTATCCAGTACTCCCACAGGGCCCTTCTAGATGCAGAGCCAACCAAGGAAGTGGAGATGAAGGGTCCGCCATAGCGAAAGGTAAGTCGCCCATGTAGGTTCCCTCCTTCCTGTCCCTCAACGCCTCCTGTCTTCCTCCCTATTCTCCATAGCCTAACTTGAGGTGCTTCTCCCCCTACCTCCATAGCTCAGGCCTACTGCTACTACTACTAGCCATGGATGTCTTCCTCTCGACCCCCTAGCTCCACCTCTTCAGCCAGAGCTCCACCCAACTCACCCTCTGGGCAGAGAAGCAGCATGATTGCCAGCCTTCGAATTGTGTAGTCTTGCCTTCCGGCCTCTAGACCTTCTTGGCTGGGTGCTATTGTCTTCTAGACCTACTGGAAGCTCCCGCCTTTTGGCAGGAACATCATCGCACTCTGTAATCCAACCTCAGGGCCTGAACCTGAGCTGAAAGGTACCTAACGTCCTTCGGGACATCCGAACGATACAGAGAAGATTAGCATAGCCCCTGTGCAAGGATGACACATTAAAAAAAAAAAGAAAAAAAGAAAAAAAAAAAAAGAAGGGAAAACTACATTCTTCCCCCAAACATAACGCATGTGCATTGTATTCGAGTTTTAAAATTTGAAAAAAAAATCGAATGGAACACATATACGTTGTATTCCAAAATCTAAGGCTATTCGAATAGAACGCATATGCTTTGTATTCGAATAGAACGCACCCTATGAGTTGTATTCGTTTACAACGCATATGCGTTATGTTCGGGGGATGTTTTTTTTTATTTTTTATTTTTTATGTTGGACCATTTCTCGATTTAGGCGTGTCATCCTTGCGCAGGGGCCATGCTAATCTTCTCTGTATCGTTCCAATTTTAACGGATGTCCCGAAGGACAGGGGGAAGTTGATAGGCCACAGTCCAGGTTTTCAGTTTTAATTTTTAAATGCATTTCAGTCACGGTTTCATGGATTTTACTCCGAAGCGAGGACAATTGTGAATGTATCCAACCCAGCTTTAGGCTTGGGTGGGGATGTGTTATACGAGGGATGCCTGAAGTGGATTTAGAACTGATAACTTGAGTGCGCAGCAGTTACCTCCCGGCCCCCCACCCCCCCACCGGAAAAAAAAAAAAAAAAAAAAGGTACCTAACTACGACCCCTGAATACTAATCATCTGTTTTGGAAGCTACCGGACCTCTCTTAGCCCCCCGCACTCAACAGACTCAACAGAGTTAGTTCGCGCCGAACTTCGCGGCATCACAGCCATCATCATATAGAGACCTGGAAGCACAGAAAATACTAAAATTATAGTAATCAGTGACACTCAGAACGATGGAATCTCAGCACATGAAGCCAATAAGCAGCAGTACTCGGAGAACTGCAGAAATCTCAGACTGATTCTGTGCGGATCATTGCGTTGCCATGAATCGCACGCAAACATGTCTCTCTGTATTATTTCCCATTTCTTTGCTCCACTAGTCCTCTCTCTCTCTCTCTCTCTCTCTCTCTCTCTCTCTCTCTCTCTCTCTCTCTCTCTCTCTCTCTCT